ATGAGCTTGTGGGGCCTTTTCGGGTTGAGGATGGAGTCAAGCTCAACTCCCAGTCCTACTGCCAGTTCCTGGAAGACACCTTCTTCAAGCAGTGGTACAGGAAGAAGTCTGCATCCTTCAAGAAAAACATGATTTTCATGCAGGACAATGCTCCATCACACGCGTCCAAGTACTCCACAGCGTGGCTGGCAAGAAAGGGTATAAAAGAAGAAAATCTAATGACATGGCCTCCTTGTTCACCTGATCTGAACCCCATTGAGAACCTGTGGTCCATCATCAAATGTGAGATTTACAAGGAGGGAAAACAGTACACCTCTCTGAACAGTGTCTGGGAGGCTGTGGTTGCTGCTGCACGCAATGTTGATGGTGAACAGATCAAAACACTGACAGAATCCATGGATGGCAGGCTTTTGAGTGTCCTTGCAAAGAAAGGTGGCTATATTGGTCACTGATTTGTTTTTGTTTTGTTTTTGAATGTCAGAAATGTATATTTGTGAATGTTGAGATGTTATATTGGTTTCACTGGTAATAATAAATAATTGAAATGGGTATATATTTGTTTTTTGTTAAGTTGCCTAATAATTATGCACAGTAATAGTCACCTGCACACACAGATATCCCCCTAACATAGCTAAAACTAAAAACAAACTAAAAACTACTTCCAAAAATATTCAGCTTTGATATTAATGAGTTTTTTAGGTTCATTGAGAACATGGTTGTTGTTCAATAATAAAATTAATCCTCAAAAATACAACTTGCCTAATAATTCTGCACTCCCTGTATATATGAAACACTATCTCTAAAGGCACAGCACACTTTTTTCCGACTCAATTACAGGATAGTGCCAAAGGCATACTTTAGGGGAATTGATCTACTTAGGAGGCCCAGACTGACCATCAGGCAAATGCGCTGTGGACAGCGATGGGCATGGGTCGAGGACGACAGAGGAGATCACCACAATCAGTTGACTGTACACACACGCAATCCCACAAGCAGCCTCCAAACACATGCACAATGTATGTATAAAATTATTTATCCCATTCTACTAACAGACTCCACAGTGATTATATATTATTACATAAAACTGTATGCTCCTTCCCCCCCTCCACCCACACCATTTTCTTTGGTTTCTGCGGGATACATCCAGGAATCTACTGGTGGTGGTGACTAGGAAATCCTCTGGACTAGGGTTTCCCAAAGTGTGGGTCGCGACCCACTGGTGGGTCGCCGGCTGATTTCCATTGGGTCGAGCTGACCCACACATCCAGGGGACTCAGGAGACTCAGGAGAAAGTCACACAGACTGACTAGTCTGGCCCTCGGTTTGTGACCGCAGGCCCAACATCAGGAGGGGGCCCGGCTGCTAGCCCTGTATGAAAGAGCCCAGCACCTCTGGTGGGCAGCTCCACTGGGTGCAGAGCTGCAGACCATGTGATAGGGGTCTTGCGAGCACCCGGAGCATTACAATGGCAACACTCTGGGTGCAAGCAAGACCTCTATCACATGGTCTTCAGCCAGGGCCGGACTGGGGATACAAAGCAGCCCTGGAAAAAAAATTTGTGCCAGCCCCATAAGTCACTGCGCCATATATTGTCGCGTGTAATATGTAAGGCTATGTCTTGCCAGGACAGATGATTGAGTAATTATATATATATATATATATATACATATATATATATATATATTGCTTTTTCTAATATAAAATATTGGTCCTTTCAGGGTAAAACGTTTAATTATACAATAAGCATACTCACATGCAGACACAGGCAATTTCACTGACATTTCAGTGACACACACAAGCTCATTGATACACAGCCTCATAGACAAACAATCTTACTGATATACATCAGCTCATTGACATAAAAACACAAGCTCACTCACTAGCAGGCACTCGCATTTAAGCAAGCTCACTCACTAGCAGACGCACACACACAGCTTAATGTGGTGGTACTGGTGTCTATAGCATATCCCTACAGGCTTTTCAACGTAAACACTGACTTTTCAGACAAAAGGCAGTGTTTACATTGCTTCAAAGTGACACTGCTAGTGACAGTCACTCAGACGGTCACTAGATGTGCTTCCTGTGTTAGTGCACCTACATTCAGGGCCTCCACACTCTGTAGGTGCTGAACGTTCCCCATAGAGATACATTGATTCAATGCATCTCTATGAGGAGATGCTAATTTGAGTGGCGTTTTGCAGCCAATCCTATGGCAAAGCATTGTATTGGCTGAGATCATCAAGCTTGATGATCTCAGCTATAGAGGCAGGGCCAGTCGAGGGAGACCAGCACGCTGCGTGGGAAAAAAAAAGGTGAGCAAAAACACTATTTTTAAACACACATTTACACCATGACAGATACACACCCCATGACAGACACACACACACACCATGACTTATACCTGCCAGGGGGAGGTCTTCTGGGGGCCACTGGGGGACTTTTACCGCTGGGAAGGTCTTCTGGAGACATCTGGGGGACATGTCCTGTCGGTCGCTGGGGAGGTCTTCTGGCGGCCGCTGGCGGACTTGTCCTGGCGGCCGCTGGGGGAGCTGTACTGGCTCTGCCCTCCCGCCCTCGCGCGCTGCTGAATGAGACCGGCACCGAAATATGACGTCATATACAAACATTACTTCATTCAAACACCAACACTACGCACAAAAGCACACCTGCATTTAAAATCCAACACTACATACAAACACACCCCTGCATTCAGACACAAACACTACACACAAGTACACCACTACATACAAATACACCCATACATGCATTCATATATTTCATACAAAAACATGCTTACCGTAAAAGGCTCAAACACTGCTCACAAATACAATCCTGCAAGGATGGAAAAATGGTGGATCCCCAGCTGGCATAGCTTCATGCATATAAAGCTGACTGCCATGATGTGCCATGTTTATGCCTCGAAAACTGCCATTAAATGACAAGATTCTGCATCTTAAACTGCAATGATATCCCAAAATTATGACTCTAAAACGGCCATGATATGCCAAGTTTCTGCCTTTAAAACTACCATGATATACTAAAATTATACCTCTAATTCCGCCATTATATGCATCTAACATGTATTGCTATGGTGTGCCAACTGTATGCATCTACAGCCGATTGCCCTGGTGTCCCAGTTGTTTGCCTCTAAAACTGATTGTCATGATGTGCCAATTTCATGCATCTAAAACGGATTACCATGATGTGCCTAGTCTATCCCTCTAAAGCGGATTGTCATGGTGTGCCAATTTTATTCAACTAAAACTGATTGCCATGATGTGCCATGAACAGGGCCGGTGAAGGATTTCTGCCTCCCCATGCATAGATCCATTTTGCCGCCCCCTCATGTCACTCACTCACTGACAGAAACACACTGGCAGACACACACGCTCACTGACACACATACACTCACTCACTGAAACACACACACAGAAACTCACTGACAGACATACACACACTCACTAACAGACACACACACACACACACACTGACAGACACACACTCACTGACAAACAGACAGACACACATACACTCACTGACATACATACACTCACTTACTGACAAACACACACAGGCAGACACTCACTGACACACACACACACACTCACTCACCGACAGACAGACAGACACACACAGACTGACACACACACACACACACTGGCACACAGACTCAGACATCCTGCCTCCCTACCTCCCTACCTCCCTGGTGTCCAGTGTGAGGCAGCTCCTCACTCCTCCAGTGAGTTGTTTGGTATGCCAGGGCTGGAAGGATGCCATATTCCGGCTCCTGGCATCACAGAGGGCGCGCAAGGGAGGAGTGGAAAGCTGCAAGAACAGCCTCCCTCGCCGCCCACAATAGAGCAGCCTGCCTCCTGTTTCCCCTCCTCCAGTATTTCTTGGCAGAGCAGGCACCTGCCATCAAGGTAAGCAGGTGCCTGCTCTGCCTTACCTAGTAGAGCTTTGGGGGCGGCCTGAGGTGGCTAGATGGCCACCTCCTGGAAGACCTGTGACAGGGATCCTCTAAGCGCCCCCACTTTCGGGCACCTGGAGGATCGGCCCAGTGCTGGGGAGGGGGCGGCACAAGAGCCGCCTGCCCAGCACTGCAAATTTCTAGTTTGCCTAATGGTGGCGCCGGCCCTGCATCTAAAACAGATTGCCATAGTATGCCAATTGTATGCCTCTAAAGCTGAATGCAATGGTATGCCAATCTTATGCATCTAAACCTGATTGCAATGGTATGCCAATCTTATGCATCTAAACCTGATTGCAATGGTGTGCCAATTTTATCCATCTAAACTTTCTATGATGTACTAATTTTATGCCTCTTAAACTGATTGCCATGATGTGCCAAGTTTATTCATTTTTTTAAAATATGCATTAACAGCGAGTGGGTCTCGAAAAACTACCATTTTCAAAAGTGGGTCTCTGACCATAAAAGTTTGGGAAGCCCTGCTCTGGACTATTACACTTTCATAAAGGGGCTGATCATGCACCCAGCATGATTACCAGGAGTCAATCCTGATAATATAGGGGGTCTATTAGCCCCTAATACGTGTATGAAGATTTAGTGGTGGAGTGCCAGTTGGGGTACATTTATAGATTTAAAAATATGCTTTGGTTTCAAATATGAATAGTATAACACCTAATTCCACCCTGAGAGCGTGCAGGAGTTAACTGCATCCTCAAAACTCGTGTAAATGGAACTCTGAAGCCCCCTGGGAGAACACCACCGAATCCCTAAAATCGCACTTTCCATTGAAAAACCAATTATATACATGTCAACAAACTGGGATTTACACAGACTGCCAGATTAACCCCTTAAAGACACATGACATGATTCCCTTTTATTCCAGAAGTTTGGTCCTTAAGGGGTTAAACTGTACAAAATGGCAAGCGCTTTGAAAACTTCTCTGCAATAGCACTTTAAACCGTGTGATGTCAGCGGGCCATACCATTAATACAATCTGGGTGTTTCCCTTTAGATTTCACAACAATACATGGAAGTAAAATATATAAATTGATTTATTTTACTTCCTGATATAATGTATACATCGTGTCTATTGATTTATTTTACTTCCTGATATACTGTATACATCGTGTCCTTGGTTTACTAGTACGCAGTTAGTTTCAGTTCTAAAACGGAAGGATAAGCAGTGCATCATTTTAACGACTCCCCTTGTTTGTTAAGTTGGGCTTGTCCTGCAGCACACGGTTTGTTCCTGCTTTCTGGCTGTCCTGAATGTAAGTAATGTATGCATTGCATGGTATGGTACAGCTCAGTCACTCATCACCATAGGCTTCATCTTCATTGATGGCTATTAACAATGTGTTTAACATGGAGAGCTTAAAACATGCTGCTTGCGAAGCAGAAAGATCTATTAATCATTCCATTTTATGGTTACATATTAATATTATTTAATGCAGTGTAAGCACGAAAATCAAATGTAAACACACCGCCACAAAGAAGCCAAATGCAGAATGCTGCCAGAATAAAGCGAGACACACCTTCTGTTATCTTGATATAATTGCAGATTGATTTTTTTCTTTCTTTGGAAAGTCTGAGTGGCTGCTCCAGAAGGACACTTACCGTCTGTAAGAGAACAGGTGGGTAATCGCAAAATTAATTTATTTTTTTCTTATTTAATTTGTCGAAATTTGTGATTTCTTTACCAGCAATTATTTTGCTATATAATTCATCTAAGACTTTAATTCAACCGAATGTACACCTATAGAGTCTAGATTGCAGTGATATGTTACTCAGCACTAAATAAAATGTTTAAAGTGGAACTGCCATATGGGTAAATATTGCACAACTCGTCGTTATGGACAAAATGTCTATTTATTCTGTGTATCTGTGTTCACTGTGTAAAATAGCTGCTAGAGTAAAAGCTCCCCCCCACCCCCGTGTGCTCGGTAACTATTTCCTCTGTAAATTCCTCCCCCCTTCCCATCGAGCTACCCTCCCCCCTTCCCATCCTGCTACCCTTCCCCCTTCCCATCCTGCTACCCTCCCCCTTCCCATCGAGCAAGCCTCCACCCTTCCCATCCAGCAAGCCTTGTGTAACAAATTCCTGTGTTAAAGGAACAGCTTCCTTTACTAACTCCTCTCCCACTTCCTTTGTGCAACTAACAGCTCTATAGAAACATGCGACGTGTAGTAAAATGGAGCTGGAATGGGGCTGGGATACAAAGAAATGTCATGTGATGATGCTGGGGTCATGCCCAGTAGGGGGGGTTTAGACAAGACCCCTTAGACTGTTAACCAATTGATGAATGTATACTTTATGTTAACTGTGACTCTGGACATGACGTATTTCTGCTTTAAAAGGGAATCGCACCCCCTGGAATAAAGGCCACTCTAGAGTCCTTCATAAACCTGCAATGTGTCCGGTGTGATTTACTTCCAGAAGACATGCGCACAATCAATTTAGAAAGGAGTAGATAGACAAATAATCAAACAGTTTGTTTGATCCAAATCACAGTGGTTAAATAAAAACTAGAAATGTGTGAGATGTCATGAATCCCTTTTATTCTAGAACTTTGGTCCTTAAGGGGTTAAAACAGGTGTGGGCAATCTGTGCCCCATTACTGTGAAACCGATCCACTGTACTTCTGGCCTGATATCCACTACAGTAATGGGTATGATGCTTGGATTAACGCTTTAAGCTAAGTTAGTTTTTAAGGTAAGTTGGCACCCAGGACCTCTTTACACCATAACAGCTTACCAACTCTCATTAACCCAAGCAATACAGGTGATAGCTGAGGACTTTGTCAAAATGAGAGCTGTTTCACACTGCATAGACAAACAAGTTCTGGAGCATAAATGTATAATACTCACTGTGTCTTGGTAGCAGATGTCCTTGATTTGCTACAAGTATTTAGTGGAGAACACAAGTAATAGTTGAGATGTAAAAGATATGACTTGTAATACTGTGTGTAAGAGATACTACTGGAAAACCTCCAGGGGGAAAAAATATTTGTTAGGTCGATGTTAGCTAATTAAAGGAACAGTATAGTCACCTAAATTACTTTAGCTAAATAAAGCAGTTTTAGTGTATAGATCATTCCCCTGCAATTTCACTGCTCAGTTCACTGCCATTTAGGAGTTAAATCACTTTGTTTCTGTTTATTCAGCCCTAGCCACACCTCCCCTGGCTATGATTGACAGAGCCTGCATGAAAAAAAAAACTGGTTTCACTTTCAAACAGATGTAATTTACCTTAAATAATTGTATCTCAATCTCTAAATTGAACTTTAATCACATACAGGAGGCTCTTGCAGGGTCTAGCAAGCTATTAACATAGCAGGGGATAAGAAAATCTTAATTAAACAGAACTTGCAATAAAGAAAGCCTAAATAGGGCTCTCTTTACAGGAAGTGTTTATGGAAGGCTGTGCAAGTCACATGCAGGGAGGTGTGACTAGGGTTCATAAACAAAGGGATTTAACTCCTAAATGGCAGAGGATTGAGCAGTGAGGCTGCAGGGGCATGTTCTATACACCAAAACTGCTTCATTAAGCTAAAGTTGTTCAGGTGACTATAGTGTCCCTTTAAGTAATGCATTCACATAGCTTTACAAATACACTTTTTATACAGACTTTTAAATGTGTTTTCATTCGCGTATTCATAGGGGTGCAATGATTACCCATTACATAGTCATGTGAGCACCAACGCATTTGTCTGTTAGTAAACGTTATATAAATGGCCTATAAACCAAATTCTAAATTTCAAAAGACCAAAGTACGTTCCTTTTTCATTGCAAGTCTCCCATTCATTTTGTTAATGTCTTTGTTTTCTCCAGATGGAACACCCCCACTTTGCTCGATATATACAAATAGGAAATCTTGTTTTAAGCATTCGTGCTCATTTGTAAAAGATAAGCATGCTTTGTACAAATTCTTCATTTGACTAATCTCAGGGAGTAGCAAAATAAAATTCCTTTCGGTTAATAACTAATTATTAATATATAAGATAAGATTAAAATGTAAAAAGCTGGCATGGTATTTCGACTCTTATAAAGTCTTCCTTCATTATTTTTAGATGGGGTACAATTAACCCATTTGATGCCCTTGGAGCTAGAAATTTACTGGAACTTATTTATTCAAGATACTTTTTAAAGGGAAACTATAGGCACCCAGACCATTTCAGCTCATTGAAGTGGTCTGGGTACATAGTCCCAGGTCCCTTATCCCTGCAATAATTACCTTTTGAGGGTTAACTCCCAGGTCATTATACATTTTTTCCTATGGGAAAAATACTGATGTGAGCATGGCCATTGCCGCGTATGCGCATTAGGTCTCCCCCTCCGGCACTGGACTCAGGTAAGTGACAAAAGTTTTTTTTAATCCCTTATGCACCACGGGGGCAGGGAACGCCGCGAGGGAGGGAGCACTATAGGGAACTGGCTACTCTTTCCAAATCATGTCATATTTTTGTATAAACTTTCAAAATGATTTAGTATAATGACATTTTTTTTTTTAGTTTTGGAATATTTTCATATTTTTATATATATATAAAAAAAATTTGAATATGTTGAAAATTCAATTTAAGTGTTTATCAAAATATTAAATGATTTCGAAAGCTTATCCTAAGTATAAAAAATTAAACCATTAAAACATTTTATTTTTGCCAACCAACAAACTTAAACCTTGTTTATTTGGCCGCTGCTAGACTTTGAGTTTGACATGCTTGCTTTACAGTGACTCACTCATTAAGATGCAATGGGGTTTACTTTCTAACTGGAATTAAATATCCATCACTTAGCAAGGAATATCACAACCTCCCATATTTCCCTTGGTAGGAGGTGCAAATGATATACCTAACATAATGAGAGATTATTAAGTATGACATTCCCCATCTGAATGTAAGCTCATTGAGCAGGGCCCTCCACCTCCTTCCTGTACGTCCAGTTGTCTGGTTACAATTACATGTCTGTTAATCCACCCATTGTACATCGCTACGTAACCTGATGGCGCTATATAAATAATATAATAATAATAATAATATATGACTTGGGGGAGTTTGCATACAAATATTTTATTAATTGCTAGGCCATGCATCTCAGCTAGGGACCAGAGCTCATGTAAATCTTCCAATGGTACTGGATTTTTTTTACAAAAAAATTTTGAGAAAGTTACGATCTTATTGATGTACCTTTGTTCCTAAAGGTCCTGTAAATTCACTTTCAGTCGTGTTACCCAGTTTTTTCATGCATTGATCAGAAAGGTTATTGCTGGTAAATGGACAGAGTTTACTGTAATAAGCACTGACTGTGATTCTCATTGTTTTGTCTGAGCAGGTTCGGAGCTGCTTGTTTCCGCTATGGCTACTCGATTGTTTGAGGGAAAAACCCATGCATCTTACTATCAAAAATATAGGTTCTCTCCACCACAAGAGGTCCAGGACTTGATATTCAACTACATGGGTGAAAGGGTAAGCAGGGTGTACTATTATTTTCATTTTGAAAAAACTGCAGAGTTCAATAGAAATTGACACATTTATAAATTAACCTGGTTACACCCCCCAGGCAGTCGATCAGAGAACTGATCCTTTAATTCCTGGTTCGGTTAACTCAGTGGCGCTAAACTCAGGAGGCAGCAATTGCCCGGATCTCCTACCTTGCACAGACTTCTCATTGAGCTGCATTGGGAAGTCTGTGATTGGACAACCTCAGAAAGACTTGCAAATGTAGCAGACGTGAGAACTGCAGGTTTTGCAAGCTGTTTTTTTATATGGCCCCAATGAAAAAAATGAATTTTTAAATGTGTGCAAGTTTTCATTTGGGGTATATCTACTAAACAGTGATTTAATGAGAAAAGGGAGAAGTAAATGTAAAAAGTTAAGTTCTTTTTCTCCTAAGTTTTAAGCTTAGCTCTCTGTCAATCATTGTTCTAAGTCTCTGTCATTTGACACTGGCCACCAACATAGAGAAAGAATACAGAGAGGAGAGGAAATTAAAACAATATTTATATTTCAAGAGACCAAAAAACATATATATATACCAAAAGGATATATAAAAGGGTGATGTTAAATACACACAGACTATATATATGCCAAATATAGAACCTGGAAATAAGGACATGTAAATATAGAGCCAGAGCACTCCGGAGAGGGAGAGAACTTACAGGAGGAATGAATGTAATGGACCTGTTTCCTCAAAGGGATATAAAGAGAAAGTCAATATATATCTGATACATTTAATTCAAAGCTGCACTTACACATTGGAAAATGCAGGTTTATCTCCACTCGCAAGTGGACCAAAGGAATATCTTCCAATCTCGTGGTTCTTATCAGTGGGATAAAGTGCACATCGCCATCAAAATGTTTATATTTCTCCTTTTCATTTGCAATGTTTGCTCTGGACGTGTCTGGACTGAACTGGAATATGATGTAATATGTTAAATCTTTGATAGTAATTTAAAACAAAAATGGGCAGCACTGGGGAAAAAAAAAGCTTAGCAATGGTTATTGGTGATTTTCATTGTTTTATTTAATAATGTCAAGATTTCAGGAACAATATATATACGGATATAATTGCATATTTATATAAATCAGGGGAAACCAACAGATATCACTCCTGATATTTACTGGTTACATTACAATAAGGAGACTTCACTAATTCCAACAGAGGACTAATTGCAGATGTATACATCCGGTAATAATTACACTTGTCTGTAGAATCCTAGGGATGGTGTCAGAGTACTGTAGGCAGCCTAAACACTACAGGAAGCAGTGATGGTTATTTTGCTTAGAGAACTTCCTTAACTCCTTTTAATTCTATTATATTTCCCTTTATTTTGCTTAATATTAGCTATCAAAACCTTATGGGTTTGCAGTGGATGTTGGATGTGGAACAGGACAAAGTACCAGAATCTTGGTTCCTTACTTTGAAAAGATCTTGGGGACCGATATCAGTCCTGCTCAAATAGAAGAGGCTAGCAAAGCTAATGATATCCCAAATGTTACTTATTGGTAAGTGACCTACATTGCCATGAGAACCACATACTGATTGGGTTAAAGGCATCTGGCTGCAGACAGGACATTTTGGACTGCACACTAATTAACAATGTCCGGATTTTGCAATTCACTGCCAGACGGATGAAATAAGACCTCCATGTTACTATAAGACAGTGATGGCGAACCTTTTTGAGCCCGAGTGCCCAAACCGCAATACATGTCAACTTTTTTTTCCTCAAAGTGCCAACACGGCAATTAAACCTGAATACTGAGATTTAAGTTCAGAAAAAACAACTCGTACAGTTGTCCGAACCAGTTAACAACTTTTTGTTTTAAAAGACACAACAGAGAGTTCAATGATACAAATTTTAAATAATGATATTAATAGATAAAATTAAGCATTTATTTATTAGTATCTCCAACAAATGCAATGCATACACACAGCTGAACACATTCACACACTGAATGCTTAATACATACACACAGACTGCTAAATACACACACAGTCCGTTAAATACAAACACACAGTCCGCTGAATACACACACACTGCTGAATACACACGCAGTCATCTGAATACACACACACACACACACACTGCTGAATACACACACATATACTGTATTGAGGTGTGCAGTGTATGTGTTTGTGTGTGAGAGGGGGTAGCGGTGCTGTGTGGGGTGGGGGGCTAGGGGTGCTGTATGTGTGGGGGGTAGGTGCGGTGTGTGTGGGGGGTAAGGGTGCTGTGTGGGGGTAGTGTTCTGTTGGGGGTAGGGGTGGTGCTCTGTTGGGGGTAGGGGTGCTCTGTTGGGGGTTTTAAGATACATTAAAAAGTTTAGAAAAAAAGCATACTGAACCAGTATTTCCTCCCCCCTTCATCTTACCTTTGGTGAAGGGGAGGGGGGGGGGGACACAGCCATCCCTGATGGTCCGGTGTTGGTAAGTATGTAGAACAGGAGCCTGCAGCTTTCCTGTCCTCCCGCGCGATGCTGTGTGGAGCGTTGCCATGGTAACGCGCGGCAACGCTCCACACAGCTCGTGGGAGGACAGGAGAGCTGTTTCCTAGATGCCTCCTCCTGCTTCCGGTCCTACCGACAAGGAAGCAGAGTAGATGCCTGCCGTTTCGGGCAGGCAGGTGCCTACTCCGCAGTAATGCCAAACCTACGGCCGCGTGCCCACAGAGAAGGCCCGGCGTGCCACCTGTGGCAAGCGTGCCATAGGTTCGCCATCACTGCTATAAGAGAAGCAGGTGGGGATATGACTACTAAATGTTTAAAACTATTGTCTGCCTGCCAATGCTGTCCAGTCTCTAGAAATGCATGATCCCATAAGTATAGGGCCTGTGAAAATCACATTGGAGGGCATAGTCCCCATCATTTGTGGAAACCAAGCAGGGGACTTAAAAAAAACAAAAACAAAAAACAATGGGGTTGGACAGATCCACCACCATGCTCCCCACCCTTGCTTAGCAGGGGCATGTGGAGCATAGTATATCCATATAGGTTGTGGGTGGGGACGGGACCTTATATATAATATTCAGTGCGGAGGACCTAGTGTCTCAGCCTCCACCTATGGGTGAGGACTCAAAATAATTTATGGGGATTGAACATGCCATTGTCCCCCACTGTGAAATATTGTCATGTCCTCACCCTCAGGTGGCTTGGGGTCCTTAATCCCACCCAAATAGCCACCCCCTACCTACCCTCCCACCCTAATAATAGTTGGACATGAAATACAACTAATACCTCTAAAAAAAAAAATACTTGCCATCTCAAGTCTTCTTTTTTTCTAACTCTTCTTCTTTTTCTTCTTTAGCCCCAAAAAGTCCAAATTATAATGCAGGATTCCTGACACAACTAATGAAAAGAAAACAAAACAAACATGAATTGCAAAAAAAAAAAAAAGGCAGAAAAATCCAATGGGGGCAGGGAAGCCACTAGGTCTGGCCCCTCTTAAAGTGGCACTGTCATGGCGAACTTACTTTTCTTTAATCCATTCCTCTTCTCCCCCTCTCTCAGGATCTTCCTGTCTGCTCTAGTTTTCTTAAAAACATAAGATAAAGTAGGGACTACTTGTCTTATGGAGGTTTCCTACGCCATGACCATCTCTGACTAGCGGAGGAGCAAAGTGTGCTTCATTTCCGCTGGTCAGAGAAATTTTCCCACAATTCTTAGCTTTCCTCCCTGTTCCCACGATGCATCCTGTCAGTATTCCCGAACATCCTGTCACTTAGACAGGACGCCGGCAAAATTACCGAAGTGCGTCCTAACAGAATGAGAACAGTTTCTCCATTCATGCTAGAATGCAATTCGGGACTTTGTTCGGATCGGAATTTCAATCGAATGAATGAATGAAACTCCGATCCGATTTGTGCCGCGGCTGCATCTTGCAGCCGCTTAGTAAATAACTCCCTAATTCCCACGGTATCAGGGAGCTATCTACCAAAAGGCTGAAAGACCTAAATTGGTCTTTCAACCACATTTACTAATACTAAGTAAAGATTACTTAGTATTAGTAAATTCCGCTCGCTATACCGCCTTTAGGGGCATGTCTATTAGCCTGTGGCTGCTCAGTGTTAAAAAAAAAACAAAAAAACCCTAGTACCTATTGTCCTCCCCCCCTGGCCCCACCCCTGAGCGGAGGGTAGGGCCACCCACCCAAATAAAAAAGAATCCCCTTTCCCCTCCTCACCCTAAAAATAGTGAGGGGGGAATAAAAATACTAACAACCTGTAAAAAAAACAAAAAACTTACCATTTGATGTCTTCTTTTTTTCTAAAATCTTCATTTTTCAGCCCCCAAAAAAGGCCAAATAAACACCATAATAACTGTCGAACTTGTAAAAAAATAAAATAAAAAAACCTGAGCGCAAAAAAAAAAATACCTGATGCTAAAAGATTAATCCATCTTCCCCTAGCTGGGTGAACTAAGACTAAGCTCCACAGGGCGGGGGAAAGGCTTATAAAGCCTTGCCCCGCCCTGAAATTAGGCTCCGAACACTGATTGGATGGTTTGAAATCCATCTAATCAGAGTGCTCTGTGTCATTTTACACAGCGTGGGAAAATTCCAAATAACTTTCCCACGCTGTGTAAAACGACTCATAACACTGTGATTGGATGGCTTGGAATTCAACCAATCAGAGTGCTAGTCATTTTACACAGCGTGGGAAAGTTCTTTGGAATTTTCCCACGCTGTGTAAAATGACACAGAGCACTCTGATTGGATGGCACTAGATGAGCTAAAATCATCTTGAGATCTGTTGTCCGTTCTCACATCTCTTGCTACTTGTTTTTCTCTCCATAAATTAATATTTGAAATTGACATTTAATTGAGAAACACCAAACTCCCACATAAAATTAAAGGGAAAAAAAGCCTTTAGGTATAAAATTTGGTAAATTAAAAAAAAATGCAGTTGTGGAAGGTGTTTTATTTCTTTTATTTTTTAAAGCATTCTCACGAGTTAAATATGAAATATTTTGGTTTCAGAGAAATTGCATTTTGCATAAATTTTTTGGGGATCCTGTACAAACACTTGCTTAACTAAACACAAACTATATGGATTATTTCAAATGGCTTCTTGATTTAAAAGCGGTTACTCGTTTAGGTCCAGTGTATTCCTCTCACATTGTATAGTGTTTAAAGGTTAAACTAACTGTTAATATTTGCCAGCTCTTTTACGTTGTTGCTTGTTGATTAATAATCATCTGGAGATAGCCAATTGAAAAAGGTGTACTGCAAGGCCGAGAGAAATTGTGTACACCCTTCAAAATCTAGTCTGCACTACTTTGACCTAAAATAACATCAGATGTTCATCTATAAATTATAAGGGGCATTTAATTAAGCAAATGACAGCAGTTGTTCAGTGTTGACAGTTTTGTTAATCTGCAGCTTTTAACCAGATGGCAAACCACAGCATATTTGTTAAAGGACCACTCTAGGCACCCAAACCACTCCAGCTTAATGAAGTGGTCTGGGTGCCAGGTCCAGCTAGGGTTAACCCATTTTTTTATTCTCTGAAACTGCTATGTTTATAAAGGGGTTAATCCAGCCTCTAAAGCCTCTAGTGGCTGTCTCATTGACAGCCGCTAGAGGCCCTTGCGTGCTTCTCACTGTGAAAATCACAGTGAGAATACGCCACCATCCATAGGAAAGCATTATGTATGCTTTCCTATGAGACTGGCTGAATGCCCACGCAGCTCCTGCCGTGCATGCGCATTCAGCCGAAGAGAAGGAGGAGAGGAGGAGGAGAGATTTAACCCTTTCCTCTCCATCCAGCCCGAGTATGTTTTCCTGGCACTATAGTGGTCCTTTAATGTAGCTTAGTGTAGCCTGCAGGTTTAAAAGTTAGGCAATAAGTAGCAGAATTTGTTGCTACTTTGTGAGTTACATTTCTGGGATGTATGTATACATTAGGTGTAACAAATATAATTTTACATGAATTATGCAAATTAAGAAATCAGGACATTTGACAATGTTAAAAAAAATCTAATTGAGATGATATTTCGTATAGTAAGATCACGCCATGCAAACCTAGTTTGTATTATTAGGAGAATATTTGAGCTGCATTACATGTGGAAGGCTTATCTAGATAGTAAGAAGTCTTTCATACTGTTCCCAATCTGAAAAATAAATTGTGCCAGGAAAAGTTTGAAAAGTGCAATCAAAATGTGTGAATGTGTTTTCCCCAGTTAATTCCGTGGGGAATGCTGTGTTCAGCTGTATGGTCACTGGAGAAAAATGTTAGAATCAGAAAGTTTATGAAGTAGACGAGAGGAAAAGTAGAATAATAATTTCCTCTCTTACTTCCACTGTTTTATTTGTAAGCCAAAAAATCTAGAGTACGTATTCCAAGATTGTCTTCATTTTTCTAGTAATATGCTGAGCGCATCATACTTTTAAAGGTTCTGCCTTGCCCCTTCCAAGCCAGTGATTCTAAATGATATACAGCTATCTGGGAAAACAGTAGTCCCGTAGACAGTTGTAGTCGATGGCATTCTGAAGAAGAAAACACAAACCAGGAGTAGCCAAGAGTTACCTATACTCTAGTTCAAATTGCTAGGTTCTTTTGAAGGGCTCTGCAATCTCTACTATATGAGTGCTGTCATCTTTCTCCTGGCGTCCATCATCAGCTCCTGACGCTCTATCATTCAGGAGCCTGCGTCACTGACATATTCTCCTGCATGTGTGAGAGTACAACATAGTTTTCTAGAGGCAGAATGTATCTTGTGATGCACATGAAGAATCCTTTTTGCCAGCAGCTGTCACTAGAGATCATATGAATAAAGAACAGTAGACATCTAACCTTTTTGGTTTGGCATACAGTATTAAGCAGCAGCCAGAGCACCCTTAAAGGGAAACTCTATGAACCAAAATAACTTTATCCTAAAGCAGCAGTTTTGGTGTCTAGATCGTCTCATTGCTCATTTCTCTGCTGTTTAGGAATTAGTTTCCGTTTCTTCAGCCTTAGCCAAACCTCTCCTGGCTGTGACTCACACAGCCTCCGTGGAAAAAATGGTTTGGAATTGTAATCATTCTTACTGCACAGAGTATACACTTGGGAAGCATGTTCTCCTGCTTAGTTAATTGATCTTTAGATGACTCAGAGGAGGCAATTGCAAGTTCCAGGAGGCTATTAAAAAGCAGCGGGTAATTCACCCATAATGGAATATGAGGAAAAGAAGGATAATCCATCTTCCCTCTTTATTAATATCCTGGAACCTAACCATTGGATTGTGTGCAATTTTGGGCGCCTGTTCTAAAGAAAGATATCATGGCACTAGAAAAAGTCCAGAGATGAGCTACAAAATTGATAAAAGGAATGGAGCATTTTAGTTATGAAGAAAGGTTAAAAAAATGAAATCTGTTTAGTTTGGAAAAACGGCGCCTGAGAGGGGATATGATAACTTTATACAAATATATTCGGGGCCAGTACAAACCTTTATCTGGAAATCTATTCATAAACAGGGCTATACATAGGACACAAGGTCACACATTTAGGCTGGAAGAAAGGAGATTTCATCTAAGGCAAAGGTTTTCTTACAGTAAGAGCAATAAGGATATGGCATTCTCTGCCTGAAGAGGTGGTTTTGTCAGAGTCCATACAGATGTTTAAACTGCAATTGGATAAATACTTGCAATAACATAGCATACAGGGATATAATTTCTAATTAGTGGGGCAATAGCTGCTTGATCCAAGGAGACATCTGACTGTTTTGGGGTCAAGAAGGAATTTTTTCCTAGTTTGTTGAAAATTGGAATCGCTTCAGACTGGGTTTTTTGCCTTCTTTTGGATCAATAGCAACAATATTTGTGAGGAAGGCTGAACTTGATGGACACAAGTCTCTTTTCAGCTATGTAATTATGTAACTATATATTAATGTACTACAAAATATAGAGGAGAAAACCACTCCTAAAGCAATGGCTAAATGGAAATTGACATTAGGGATTAGTATTTGGCCCTGCAAACGGTATATTCGTCAGTACATTGCCTTAATTTATAGAGATGCATTACAAAAGGCTTGGTAGATGGTATTTAACACCTATGAAACGAGCTAAAATGTACCCCAAGGGGAAATTACCTTGTTGGAAATGCGGCTCAAATAGAGTAATTGAATTAAACACATGGTGGGATTGCCCAATGATTAAATGTAGTCCCTGCCACCAATTGATCACTGTAGTCAGTGATCAATTGGCAGGGAAGGGGTTGTTTTTTATTTAAAATGGGTTAACTTTAATAATTTTCATTTTTATTTTTTTCATGTTAAATTAAGTTAAATTAAGGTCTTAGAGGTTTAGAGAGGTACATGATCCTATGCGATGAAATACTGATAATGATTACAATAAGCCGGCTAGAAGCATTGCTAAGCAGTAGAGTTTTGGATAATGGCCTAGCAGCATGGCTCACTCCACACGACCCCCCTTAGGGGATGTTTAATGGAGGCTAATATATTGGCTTTCCACTACATTCCACGTTATACTCTCCCATATGAGAGTACATGTATATATATTTTTTTTAGATTTATTAAGTTTTCACAAATAATCCTCAGTCATATCCCTCACCCCTAGACAACAGCAGATAGCTCTCTGTAAATTCATGATTTCTAACCGAAGAAAACGAGTGAAAGAAACTAGTTTTGATAAAGGGCGAATTTTAGCCATGTTTGTTTACATTGCAATAATTCATAGAGCAAGGGTGTTCATTTTTTTTCCCCTCTCATTATGTCTCATCAATAGTGATGTCGCGAACCGTGGATGCCTTCAACATGGATGCTGTCCAGGAGGTGGGAGGGCCTGGGAGGGAGGGTCCGCTGGAGATTGGCCGGGATGTGCCAGCTGACCGGAGCTCGCCACGAACCGTGGCGAGCCGTTCGCGGGAAATTCGCGAATGGTTCGCGACATCACTACTCATCAATTTAAATGTTTATTGTTGAACGTAAATGGGCTTAATAATCCTTTTAAGAGACGCTCAGTGATTCAGGAAATCCATCAGTCAAGGGTCGGTATAGTCTGTCTACAAGAAACGCATCTTTGTAAGCATACTACTCCCATTTTTGAATCCACTAAATATCCCCAACTCTTCCATGCCCTCTCCCTGCAAAAATCAAAAGGAGTAGCAATACTATTTCATGAGGACTGGGTATTCCATCAAGATACAATCTTTAACGATGAGATGGGCAGGTAATTGATTGTGGTGGGTATTCTAAATGGAATGCAGATTACAGTTGCTTCATTATATGCTCCAAATAATTCTCAAATTTAGTTTTTGTCCAAGGCGTTTAATAAGATAATCCATTTACATAAGGGAATACAGGTCAGATCCCAGCTAAAACAACCAAACGCCGCATGAAATACACTTTGCTATTGAGTTCGCCCCAAAGTACCGAACACCGATGAGGGAACCTAATAGCGAAAGACCGGAGCTCCCGAACGGCCTGTAAGTCCAGCGGTGTTTGCGCCGTCGAGTAGCCGTTTTCAGTTCCATGCGCTCGACGACCAAACACCGCTGGGGAGACAAAGGATCCAAGATGGTCGACCGCCGCGTGGTTGGTAGCTGAACGGCGGCCACCTAGGAGAGCCTCTAATTACCGATTGCAACATTGTTGCAATCGGTTAACAAGCGCCACACGTCCCTCTGTGTGTGGGCTATTAAAGGATAGTTCATTCGGTTCACGAACAGCCCGCAACGGGCAAATTTTCTGCATTTTTTTCCAGCAGTTTGTGATGGAATCAGATGGACTGTCCTTCACTCATCACATACATTAATGAGATTTGAGTGCCCATGACCATGACACTGGTTCACTGGTTGTGCTTCCTGCACCACATTTGGAAGGTACTAACCACTGCATACTGGGAACATCCCAGATGTTTTCGTTTGCCCATTTATCCCGCTTCCAACACACAAAATGCAAGAAATAACTGTTCACTTGCTGTCTAATTTATCCCACCCCTTAATAGGTGCCATAGTAACAATATAATAAATAATTTTCACTTCACCTGTTAGTGGATTTAATGTTGTAGAATGTTGTAGGTGATCAGTGTATTTACTTTTTTTATATATATATATACATCATTGTTGATATCTCTCAATGGTATTACAAACTAATAAAGCAGTGTTTGAGAGAGCCTTTTACAATTTAGTAGGAAATAGCTACATAGGGAATAGTGTGTATAGTATTTTGTATACCAGAAGTGGAAAATGTTACTAATTTGTGTCTGAGCATTGCTACATTCTCTGGGCCTGAATGCACAGATCCCCAGTTCTAAAATGAAGAGTTTTGTTTAACCCTGCAATGAAAACATTGTCATATTTACTAAACGGCGATGTTTTACATTGCAAGAGGAAAACTACATATTCACCGCACTCAGACCATTTAATTGAAATTAAGTGGTCTGGGTAAATAATGTGGTCCCTTAACAGCCTTTGGGAAATATGAAAAGTTATGAAGGCTGTGTTAAAAGTAAATGTGAACGTACCATTTTCTAAAGTATTAGACATGAAAGATAACATTTTCCTCATGAATCATAATGATCACTTTTAACAAGGTATTTGCATATGAAGCTAGACTAATCATGTGTTCTCGATTTCCCATAGTGTTTCTCCCGCTGAGGAAGTGCCAGTGGATGAATGCTCTGTAGATCTCGTAACTGCATGTGCTGCTGCCCACTGGTTCAGTATTGAAAAGTTCTATAAGGAGGTAACAATACATTCATTTTTTTTCATTACATTTGCAATATGTGTTCTGTAAAATAAAAAATATAAATATATATCAGTTGTTACATTGGCTTCCTATATGAGCCCTATACATAGATATATATATATTACACACACATATACATACAGGGTTTAACATCTCTACTCACTGTTAGCCATATATATATACATGTATGTATTCCATGGTACATTAGCTTTCCTCTTGAGCATACATACAGTGCTCAAATTTCCACTTACTACAAGCCATTAGTGAGTCACAATTTAGCACTGGCATGGAGAAACGTATCCTTGTTAAGTGTGCCATATACCCTCCAGTGACCCTTCATTTTAAGCCTGTAACAGAAGTCTCCATTGCCCCGACACCTGGAGGCAACTAAGTGGCAGCCTCCACCCCTCCAACTAGGGGTTTTAGCCTAGAAAGGGGTTCTGTTTTTGGGGAGGTGGGTTTAGTGGGACAGTTTGAACTGCTTCTTCCCCTGGTATGGTACTTTCCCTCCAATTACTAGCGTAGGAGATGATTCCCCACCTTTAATGGCTTGTCATCTGCTTTAAAATTGTGGGGATATTGTAGGTTATGTAGCTGGAATTGAATGCCTTCATTGTCCCGATTGTATGTTCCTTTCATCATCCCCCCTTTCTTGTCTTATTGTTTTCCCAGCAGAGTTGTCCCATTGTTCAAAGTTCAAAGTGGCTGCCCTGTCACTAGTTTAAATTTCCCATGTGGTTCTCAGCCATTTTTATTGTCTGTCCCCACCCTTCCTTTTAACCACAGTGCTCCATTCACACTAATTGTAATGTAATTAAGCTTTATAGTGTAATTGGTTGCTATACCAAGTCCATACTGCTTGTGCAAAGGAGAGCTTAGTAATTCTGTATCCATAACATCAAAGTAGGTACAGATAAATATTTCTCCATAATACTGAATAGAGGTGTTAGATAGAAACCACTAGAGCACATATCCTAAATAGTACTCACAAATGAACAAAGTTGGAAAGTGGGGAGGCAATAAGGCTATAGAGAGATAGGTTGGTGTTAAATAAAATAAAGAAGTGCAGCGAGAAGAATACCTCACCTACACAAAACCAGGCAGCTTAAATTTTACCGATAGCATTACTGCTATCTAACTGGAATCAAGGAGATCTACCATAGTAAAAGGAGTTATTAACCAAATGACAGCACTGCTGCTCAGTAAATAGAGTTATTAATGTTGAAAAAAGACTAACGTGTATATATGCTGAGGTTGTAACACTTTACCACAAAGTGGTTGTGGTCAGATTAGTAATCCAAAGTCTCTGACTATAACAATTAGCACAGATCTAGTTCTCCTATCTTATCAGGCTTTATTCAAGTGTGCCTCTGTAGGGGAATTGGATACAAGTAAAATATAGTTACTCTAGAGGGCCCCAGGGCCTTGCAAAGTTGGCCTGTATTTCTTATTTTTTTGCAACTCTGTAAAAAGATGTCTTGTGATGCTGTCAGCTTATATAGAGTTCTTTAATATTTCTTTATTAGCAAAAAGTTTGAGAAAAGAGGTTCGAAAATCTAGGTAAACATAGGCGTCTGATGGTCACGCAGGACCCAATATATAGACAGGACACAGTAAATATAGTAACAACAACGAAAAAAGAGAGAAAAAAGGTAATAAAAGCAAACATAGCCTTGTAAGCAATTATTTCAGATATTTATCAAGCCTCAATATTGTGCCTCCTTCTTTTTTTTTTATATACCAGCATTTATCTTCACCCCCATACACCATGTCCAGAAACCACTTATAAATAACTATAATCAAGGAAGAAACAAAAATGAATAGATAAATAAAGATTATAAAGTCCTATCCTCGGATCCATGAATTATTTAATATTTACATTTTTAGCCTCAAGAGGCCGCCCTAATCCTTACCCAGAAATGTAGCGATGTATTTATCATTCCCCTCCATCCCAGCATAGACTAAATGCATTATAAAAGATTTTCTGATATCCTAATATAAAACATTAATCTATTACTTATAAGAATATCATAAAGAATAATAAAAAAGGGAAAAAAGAAAGAGAAAGAAGAAGAAAAAAAATGAAATAAATCTTTAAAGTTTATATAGAGTTATTTGAATAACTCACATGATCTCTTTTAAAATGACCACCAAATGTGTGCATCGTACACCAATCAATCAGAAGGATATATCTATTATACGGTTTGATTTGATGCTGTATCATAGATTATGGAGAGCAAAAAGCAGGGCGCATGAGAATACTGAGAACTCTGAATACTGTTGCGCCCTGTTTTGTTGTATCACAGATTAGCATCAAGGCAATATAATGAATAAAGCAGAACTTGTTATATCCTTTCCGGCATGGAGCTGGTCCTAGAAACCGTTAAACATGCTAGAGCAAATAAATGCATTCATCTCACACAATCACATACCATAACCACTTATTATTACTATACGATATGTTGGTAATCAGTTTTGATTGATTTTTATTTCTATTTTATTAACAATTTCATTAATTTTGATTTTCAAAAGCAACTAGAATTGTTGAATGAAAACCTTGCTTCTGGTGTTCCATTCTAGGTGGATCGGATCCTCAAGCCTCGTGGTTGCCTTGCTATTTTTACGTACATTCCTGACATGGAAGTGCATTACAAAGACCGATCAGAACAGTTGACAAAAGTCTTTAAAGAGGTCAGCCGACAACTCCGTATTCTTTTGGGTGCATTATATGGTAGTTTTTCATTATTATTAAATATTTTGTAAAAGTGAAATAATAACTAACGTCTGGTTTCCATGTTAATGGATAAATCCTACCACCTGTCTCTATCTAACCAAAATTTGCAACTAACTTAACAACTAATATGGAAACAAGCCCTTTATTGTTGTTTAAACGTAACTTTTCAGCACTTATTGAACTAAAATTACCCTGATTTGTTAACCACACCAATGTCAGATAGACATAAGAAGTTAAAAGAGCATGTCAAGTACCATAACTACTACAGCCCACTATAGTGGTTGTGGTGCCCTAGTAAGGTGAGTAATATAAGTCGGCAAATGTTTTGACAAAATACCTAGGGTCTGCCATGCACCGGATGGAGCCTAATCCTGGAACAGGAATCTTTATCGAGCTTTCATCAGCTTCACTGAGCTAAGCTCTGCACTGGCTTGGCTTAGTGCTGCAGCTTCAGGCAGCAGAGAAGGATGTAACGTATGCTTCACAGACACCAGCTAAGCTTTCAGATTGTATAAAAACTATTTGATTGCTTACCGTGGGAGATCATCAGGACACTTCTGGCATCATAACCGCTACAGTAGACTGTAGTGATTAGGGAGCTTAGAGTGTTTATTTATTGGTTTATTTAGTATGTTAAACTTTAGGGAGTAATGTGGGTTAAATACCCCTTTTTTTTAAACCTACCGCTTCCTTCACCTTGATTTTTTTCCTTATTCAAGGGGCAAAAAATGTTGGCCCCGTATGAAAATGAGAAAGTGAGACTTGTGAAAACAGGTTACAAAGACCTATTTGATGCCATACCTTATACAGATAAAAAAAGGTAAGTCAGATTTTCTACTATATTCAACTTTTCATTTTAACCATATATATTTTAATAACCATAATTCATTTTTGTTTTGTTTTTTTCCAGGGTTGAAAATATGACAACCAAAATGCCAATGTTGCTGTCAGACTTTTTGGGTCTCATACAGACCTTCTCTATGTTCCAAGATTTCCTTAAACATGAACCCAAGAAAGCTAAGGAATTTATAGTGACAACAGAAAAAAGGTATGTAATATGTAGATATGGGTTTTAAGCGATACTTCCAAATAAAATTCCTGGTAGTCATCGAACAAACTGATTCCAAATAGTTTTACTTGAGGGGTCGGTTTAAATTCATTACATGTTGAGGTTGGAGACTAAGCTAGGCATTTTGTGCGCTAACTCATTGTTGTAAATATTAATTCGGTTTGCACATTGAGTAATATCTTTTAACAGTAATACAAATTTATTCCACCACAGTAGAGGAGTGGAATTAATTTATATTATCGTTAAAAGATATTACTTAATGTGCAAAGCGAATTAATCTTTACAACAATGAGTTAGCGCACAAAATGGTATTAACTCTCAAATTTGAGAGAACAACATGTAACTAGAACTTATTATAAAAATGTAAATAGAACTTATTAAATTGAAACAATATCCCAGTGTGTATATGATGTTCTTTTGATACGTCCAAGTTCTTACACTATGCACTGAAATAAACTTCTCGATCCTCCAGCATTCACCATGGGTGGATAATCTAGGGAAATTAGAACTGAAATGGTATAATGACGTCTGGGGAGAAACCTCCACCTAACACACCTAGTTGAATATTCCTATATATTCAGTCCTATAGGCTTCCTGATTTTTTTTTTTTATTATTTTTTTTTAGTACCATGTTATTAATTACTTGACAGTTTATTTTTTTTCTGTACATAGTTGACTTATTTCATATACAAATATTTATAATATTTATGTGTATTTTATTTGATTGCTTGTTTAGTTTTAACAATGGTTCATACGTCATTGTATATATATATGCCGCTGTTTTATGATATATTATTTTAAAACATTACATGTAAATCCATTATTTTCTGTATCGATTAAAACATATTTTATTCAAAGGTATTTTTTGCACATGTTTAATAATAACTATACACTTTGCAACTGATGTCTCCTTTTCATGGTGCATGATGAATATATACATTTATAGAATTTTTTCTTTTCTTGTCTGAATATAATGCTGTTACCATTCAATGCATATACACTTTTGAGACACGTTTTCATGATTGTTATTAAAGAGCAGCTGTTACACATTGTTAAAACAAACAATCATCAGATATTTGTGGCTAAATGGACTTCCTTGGTCCACGCCGTGTTTAATGTCTGCCCACTATGTACATATTCCTCAACTGATACTAACTACCACTTAATATTTACTATTTTAACATACAACAAAAGTACATATTTGTCATAGCAAATCAGCCCGCAATCATATGAACAAGTCACCCTTAGTGTTTCATACACCTGGCTTTCCAAATTTCGCTAGCTTACAGGTAATTTTTAGTGCTTTAATGTACTAAATGGGTAACCTAACAATATAGCCACTGCAGCTTCATCATGGTTTTTGTTAGACCATAGTTATTCTTTGTTCCTTTTAGCCTTTTCAATTTATTTTTTATTTTTTTATCAGCATTGCTACAGTCACTTTAATGGCCATCTTCCATCTCTTATTAACAATGATACAGCACCTGATTGATTCTAGGTTAGGCACCCTGGTGGCTTGACGATGCTAATCTTTCTGACATTCTTTATGAGTTGACTTTTTACAAACCTTCTTCTTATTTCAGATTCCTTGAAATCATGGGGGTATCCTCCACTGAGACAGAAATTGAAGTGCGGTTGAACAATGTATGTTTGTTGGCCTCCAAGCCTAAGTGAAGCGATAAAACAATAAACATGCCTAGCGCAACAAAGCTTTTGTTACATGAACCATAAAATGTCTGTTCAAATTAGAAAAAAAGCTTGTAAGGTGCTACACATTGTATAAAAAAATCAGTGTTTCCTGTTTGATTCTTAATTCACGCAGTTTAAAAATCATGATATATTGCTAGGGAAATCCATATAATAAACAACATGGTAGAGCAAAGCATTGTCTTTAGAGCAAATTACATGAATCAAAGTTAAGAATATTTTGGAATAAATCCTGTTTTTCCAGTTTCCTTTGTTTTCATTAGTAGTCCTTACATACAATACTGTAACAGTCTTATTGGCTGAAATTCTTATTAATTTTAAAATCAGCAAAATAAATTTTCATGTCAATTATGGTAATCACTTTGTTAGCAAATGCAGTTATGACTTTAAGAACTACTTAAAAGAGCATTCCAAGAGTAATAACCACTACACATACAACTGTGATCAATCCACCTAAACACCAGTGAATTGTGTATAAATGAAAAGCTTAGGTGTACAGCCTCCCACAGTTACCTCCCAGGTAGTAACCAATTAATGCACAGATATATACAAAGAGAAACAGCTAGGGATCCTGCCGTTGTACCTAAAATTAAGGACATAACATAGTGCAAATATTGTTTGATGTATATGTATAAAACAATTACACAGTTTCACTCACAAATGTCCGATGTAACAAGCGCATTATGGGTGCCACCTACGATATCAAATAGGGGCTTATCCACCAAGCCTGTAGAAGGAAGTTCCAGCACACTGAAAAACTCTCCAAAGATGTATTTTCTCCAAAAGGATATTTATTTGATACAAAATTGTGTAAAATGCACAAATATAGTAAAAATAACGGTCCCTTAACTTCCTTCAACTGGCTTGGTGGATAGCCCCCTATTTGATATTGTGGGTGGCACCCATAAGGCGCTTGTTACATCATCTTTGACAGTTTTAAGCACCATGCAAAGGCACCTTGAGTGCCATGCATGGAACACGTGCCATAGGTTGCTGACCCCTGGCTTACTATGTAAACATGTGAATAATATTCACAGTGGGAGAGATGCAATATTGTGCTTATTATTGGTTTATTAGAAAATATTATGAAACTAAATGGTTAAGAAAAGGTTGTTCAATTCTTTCCTTCAATGCTCCCATCAATAGAGACCGCGAGAATACATAAAGCATTTGTAAGCAAACATAGAATACATAGAATACTGAGACTGAATATATGGAGCACTTGGGAAATACCCACCATAATTTGACAGAATGTGTGATCAACTCAAAAAAACACATTTATATGGCTCTACAAAATGCTTTAAAGGGGTAAGGACATCATCTAACTAAATGACTTACAGGAACATTTCACTAGCAAAAGAACAGAAGATTATTTGATTGTCTTTAACCCCTCAAGGACCAAACTTCTGGAATAAAAGGGAATCATGACATGTCACACATGTCATGTGTCTTTAAGGGGTTAAACAAATTCTACAAAAGTACATTTCTCATTTCTAAACATTAGGGAACAGAAATAAAAGAAGCACATTCAAACCAATTAATAAAATAGTCAGTCAAGTAATTAACTGTCAGAAAACTACATAGTTACATAGTTACATAGCTGAAAAGAGACTTGCATCCATCAAGTTCAGCCTTCCTCACATTTGTTTTTGCTGTTGATCCAAAAGAAGGCAAAAAACCCAGTTTGAAGCACAATTTTGCAACAAGCTAGGAAAAAAATTCCTTCTTGACCCCAGAATGGCAGTCAGATTTATCCTTGGATCAAGCAGTTATTACCCTACATTGAAAGATTATATCCTTGAATATTCTGTTCTTGCAAGTATGCATCTAGTAGCCGTTTGAACATTTGTATGGACTCTGATAAAACCACTTCTTCAGGCAGAGAATTACACATCCTGATTGTTCTTACAGTAAAAAAAACCTTTCCTTTGCCTAAGACGAAATCCTCTTTCTTCCAGTCTAAACGCATGGCCTTGTGTCCTATGTAAAGTCCGGTTTGTGAATAGATTTCCACACAATGGTTTGTATTGGTCCCGAATATATTTGTATAATGTTATCATATCCTCTCTCAGGCAACGTTTTTCTAAACTAAATAGGTTTCAATTTGTTAACCTTTCTTCATAATTCAAAATTGCACAGCATATTCAATATGTGGTCTTACCAGTGATTTATAAAGAGGCAAAATGATATTCTCATCCTGAGAATGAATGCCCTTTTTCATGTATGACAATACCTTACTGGCCTTGGCCACTGCTGATTGACACATTGTTGCATAGTTTGTTGTCTATAACAATTCCCAAGTCCTTCTTGTGTGTGGTTATCTCTATAAATTGCTTGTGCATTCTTGATGCCAAAGTGCATAACTTTGCATTTTTCTACATTAAATTTCATCTGCCATTTGAGTGCCCAGTTCCCCAGTCTATATAAATCCCACTGCAGCAAAGTAATATCTTGCTCAAATTTTAAGCCAATGTTCTACCCAAGAACAAGCATTTTCATCTAGACCGATTTCCTTGAGTTTGAACACTAATCTATTGTTTTGAAATGCCTCGGCAAAATCCAAATAGATCACATCCACTGTAACACCCTGCTCTATACTTCTACTTACTTCTTCGTAGAACGCAATCAAGTTAGTTTGACATGACCTGTGCTTCATAAAACCATGCTGATTTTTGCTGATAACCATGTTCTTCTAAAGGAATTCTTGAATATTATCCCTTAATAACCTTTCAAATATTTTCCCAGCCACAGAGTATAAATTGGCGATTAGAAGTTATTATTTAGTGGCAGGGGATGGCAGTAGGCAAAGCACTAACCGTAATAACCAGTCTCACACTAGGATAAATGGCTAGACTACCTCCCACTCAAAGATTGTGTGAGTGCCACTGTGGGAGTAAATAGGCAAGACTGACTTTTTTCTGTTCTTACTTTTTACTAAATACAATACTCAATAAAAAATAAAAGAACACACAATATGCTTATCATGATGTCAGAGACAAATGTGACTCGCTGTGCTACCTGGAAATATAAAGTAAGTAGTCTAATGATAATGAAATATTAGCTATATACACATGAATTCTTATAATAAAGGTATCAAACTAATCTAGAGAGTGAAAATAATAATAAAGAGATTCAAAGTTGCTCCAAAATACATAGATAGTGTACAGGTATTATAAAAATAATTTTAGCGTGGGATCTCTACAGGTATCCGCAACACTATCGGTGTAATATCCAGTACACTAAACAAAAATACATATATATATTGATATAATAGTATAATACTCCTTGTGAGTATCCTTAACTAAAGAGAAAAACTCAAATTACAGAGAAAACACCCTGTTAAAGAGATATATAGAGACGTTATATATAATATCAACCTATTATGGACTGGCAATGTGTGTCCTAAATGGGAAAGACTCAAGGGAAAAAAAATATTAAAAAAATAAACTTTAAAATTTCAATTGAAAAGGCTAAATAGATGTAATTAGAAATTAGTCAGGGTAATACTGTCCATAGAAACGATGATGCTTAGGATGCTCAATAATATATCTACGGTTGAATAAATTGGAGTATAGGTCTGTCAGAATGTAAAGGAAGATAGAGGATATAGATGTAAAGATAAACTGCTTGAAAGTCTTGCAGTACAAGTAATTTACAAAGCCTCGTTCTCTATTATTCAAACTAGACAGCAAATGGAGCAAAAAGGAATGAAATGTCATCAAATTAAATAGAAAAAACCACCCATGTGCGGCATACTAGACGTCGTGATAAGTGTTAAGTGACCATAAAAGATAAAAAATAAAAAATAGAACGCCTGACGCGCGTTTCGGTGCTGTTAGGGAAGCACCTTCGCCAGAGGCAAACAAACTATTCATGAGGATATACTTATATACCTTAGTTACCCTGTAACGGCATAATTGTCCCTCCAATAGCGTCCGTGCTCTCACTGGGGGGGGGTGTATCCAAGGGGGATTGCTTTTGCATCACTACACTCTGAATATTCACGCCAAAAACTACGTGGGGGCGTGGCTCGGGTCTTCACGTGATACGCACTGAGCGACTTCAGGGCAAGTGTCAATCAAACCACGTTGGTCTACCCCACGTGGTGTACTGAGCACTTTATGACGTAAGAACTTGTTCCGAAAATAATAATGAGGAAACAGTAGCAATGTTTTGACAGATTGAAACTGCCATGTTTCTAATGGCATAAATGTATTGCCACCAACAGGATACTTTTATCAAATTGATATTCATTCATATATTTGTTGAGTTTGAACTACCAATATAAAGTTTTTAATATATATATGGCTCATCTATAAATAGAGGAGGAGAAAAGGAGAGTCTGTGCATTCTCCATCCATTTATTCTCTATGGCCAATATATCTAAGAGAGATATGTTATTCTCCCCAATTAGGTAAATCGGAGAAAAATTATTATTAGAAGGATAAATTCAAGAGCATATGTAAAGGATATTTACAATGATATTGAACAGGGAATATATAAATATAAGGTATATGTCAAATCCTTAAAAAGAAGATAACTTTCAAATGAATGAAAGAAAAAATGTGTGAAGAAAATTACATAGCAAAATATTATCAAAAAGAAAAACTACTTACTTACATTATATATAGGTGTATCTGGTCAAGAAAGTAATTACAAAATAATAATAAATATATGAAGATTCATAAAATGAACATTCATATATAAATAAATAAAATAATGTTTATATACATAATATATGTAATGTGCCACAGTATCAACGCGTATATTACAAGAAGTAAACTTGTACGGTACCACTATCGACAACGCACTGTGACACCAACAACAAACAGGTATTACCATGCGATAATTATTGCAACACTTCATAACCAGGAAAATATACACCCATTATCATGTGAACTGCAACACAATATAGTGTACAATATTGCGTACATTACCTTACCTTACCATTACATTAAGTGCAAATACATAAAATGAGCATTATGTTACGAGCAGTGAACCATAGCGATCACCACATGTATTCACACAAATGTGTATGTGTGTGTGTGTATATATATATATATATATATATAAATATATATACACACACATACGTACATACACACCCACCCATACAGATATCTCGTGACGTGCATACAATAACCAACAAGCGAACAGAAAACCCTATAAGACTTCACCACTACTATGCAAAATATTGTGAACATAAGAATTACAAAGTATTAATAGGTTCTGTACATAATATATGTAATTTACCGCAGGATAAACAACACTATTGAACAACACCAACCTA